GGGTAGGAAAGAGACCAAGACACACTTGGATATAACGGGGCCAGTGTTATCGTGGGTCATGACATGCTCGGGGCGTATCATGACATAGTCTCCCGCCTTGACCGCTTTGCCTGGCGCAAGTCCGACCGCATACTTCTGCACGACTTTTTCGATGATTGTTTGAGGGACCCGCGGGCCAGCCCCAACTGTGGTGGCGAAACCCCGGGTTCGGGTCCAGCGCCCAAGGTTTTGCAGGTAATACATGCGGGAGGCGGAGAGCCGGGCGCTGAGCTAAAAAATGATTGGACTCCAAATTTGCCACGACGTCGTCGATATGGAGTTTTGACAAACCACAACATCGACCAGCCAGGGAACGACGGAGACCGTGTACCTTCGACAATACAACGCACACGAAATCCCTTATGCTTTAGCGGTGCGAAGATACCATTGATACCACTGACTACTACAGCGAAAAGTGCAATATGTACAAGTTTCTTCCTCGAAAAATACCTTGGCTCAATACTTTGCCTCGTTGGACTGCGCACCTCACTGCTGGTACTCTTCGATGACCGAACGGGGTGTGAGATATTCTCCAATGGTGGCGAATTGGTGATCAAACCTAACAAAAGGCGGCGTCAACGATGAATGAAAAGGCTCAAACGCTTACCCAAATGCAGCAGGTCCCCCACTTCGAAGTCCAGCCTCTGACTGCCAAAGAGGGCATCCGGCCGTCGCAATAACTGCAAAGTTTAGTCCTGGAGAATTGAACGCGTTCAAGAATACCTGTGACACGAAGCCCGTAACTGTCTACGAAAGGATTACGCCGTTTTCGTGGAGCGAGACGGCACAAACTCACAGTCCTGTGATCCAAGGTTCGATCCATTCTGAGAATCCAAAACTGAGATCAAGTCTGGAACAATTGCCGCCAACTGGAGGGGCCTCGTCAGCGGAGTACAACACCATGCTCGCAAATACCTCTCGAGCGCCGCCGTCTTTCTCGATATAAGCACACAAATTCTCGTTTTGAAATGGAATAATCATGTGGTCGCCGGGGCCAGTGACGACAGTGGTCGTCCCAGGTTCCTCCTGTTCTTCATCGAGTAGCTGCGCAATCCGGATCTCTCCCCATGTAAAGCCGGCTCGCACTTCCTATTCAATCGATGAGGACACCCTCCATCCTTAGCATTGAACTCGGACTTGCCCGCGAACAGCTGACGATCTTGCCAATGAAGAGACAGACGCCAGTTTGCAGCTCCAGAATCGCGTCGGGAATAGCCTTGATGTTGCTAGAGGATCTCAACAACTGGGCAACAATTCGACCGAAATATTTACTTTGTCTGTCGGCCAATGGATATAGCTCTGCCTATTCGCCAGGCTTGGCTTTGCGTACGAGGTACACCATAGTCTCGAGCCTCACTGACGGCCAGTGGAGGGCAGCAAAGGGCCGCCGAAGACCCCATTTCTGTGGTCACCGTGCGCATTAGAGTTTCTACCATATGTTCATTCTTGACTTTGGTGAGAAGCTATGCAACCCCCATTGGTGAGAGCACGGTTGTGAGACGGGACACTCACAATGACGTTGTTATCGCCGTCGCATAACGCAGCAGGGATGAGTCTTCGGGTGCCTATAAGCTGGGATAGCGATGGCGACCAAAGAGCTTACGCATCTGGCCGATCATAGACAGCTGGTCGCAACACTTCAAGCGGCAGACACACATTTGCAACAGAGATACACACCTGGCAGAACCTGATTCAGTTTGGGATACGCTGAATCAAGTCAGCAAGTCAGCAATTATTTTGTCTAAAACTTACCGCGACCCATAAGATCACCATCGAACGCTGGTATGCCGTAGAAACCGGCCATGACCAATGATTGCATACCGTTGCTACCTCCAATTTCATCACTGTAAACATAGCGTTGGAGAGGTGTACTGCATCCGTGGTTCGACCCACCATAATGTCGCAGCAAAACTCGAGACTCCACAGAACTTGGCGAGCTGTTGTCCGGCTTGTATGATATCAGCGCCGGCCGTCAGGCGCTCCGAACCGACAGAAGGGGACCCCATAAAGCCTGGGATGCAAGGAATATAGTGAGAATCGGCATACGTTGGCCAATGAAACTCGTACCACCACGAGCAAGAACTGCGTCATCTGCCAGCGACGAGTGGTCGACGATTCGGAGCACTTTTCCATCGCGGAGCATTTGCCTAGTCTTCAGATACGTCGGATACGGATTCCCGCCTCCGCCCTGCAGGACATGAGCCATGACTCGTACAGCAAGTAGAACAGCGAACGGTCCCGAGCACTCCGCATCCTTCTTGGATAAAGACTACAAAAGGCCAAACATTAGACAACGAGGACGGACGCGCATTTTGAGTACTCACACAAGTCGGTCTCACTCAAAATCCATTCATTGCCCACAACCTTCGGCCGATAGGACCGATAGTCGATACCCGTTTCGCCGTCACTCCCATCGAGAATAATCTCTTGTGTTGATTCGGGTTCTTCCTCTGGATCGGTATCATATGGAGCGTTGTTCTTTGGCAACCACGACTCAGTTGAGACTCCGAGTTCTCCGATTGCCTTTACGATGATTCGTGTTGCTTGGTTAGTGACATACTGGAGATAGGGTGAGGAATAATGAGAACGGAAATTGGCGAGCAAACCTGGACGGGGAGTATGTTGATTTCGGCGACCGAGACACTCTGCTCCTCTGCACCGGCTAGAATAGCCTTTGCGATTGCCTGCGCCTTGATACGCTCCAATACTTCGGGAAGCTTCTTTCCTTGAAGTATCTCTATGGTGTCGATGTCTCCGGAGACGCTGGCAACTGCTGCACCGACAGCATTTGCAACGCTGTGGAATGGCGGGATACTTTGAAAGCTCAATGCCAGACGAGTGGCGTGAAAAGTTACCTACATAATTTCCTCGACGCCCTTGAGCACCGGAGGGACAATAATCGACCCACCACCGACTAGCAGGACTGTGCAGTCATCCGGACTTGTTTTCATCCGGTCTATGACATTCTAACAGAAGTTTAGCCTCGAGGCACTTTCGTGCAAATTGCGCCAAACCTCGAGCAGCTTGTGTGCTACTTTCTTGGCTTGCATAACCGTTTCATCCGCAACATGTTCAACTTTGGTCGCATCCCCGATGGCCTGCACACCGGAACGAACAGCAATGTCGGTGGTTGTCAAAACGTTGCCTCCGAAAACTTTCGCGTCTCGAGTCAGCTAAGCGGACCCTCCGGTTAGCATGTGGAGGATGCACTGAGTGAGCCGGCGAACATAATGGCCCACGGAATCCGGCCCAACCGTGACACGGCCGCTGGCATCTATCCTGACTCTAGACCCTCCGCCTAATCCGATAGAGTGGATATCCGGCATAGAGAAACTGTCTCCACGATGAACAGTGAATCTCAAGAATTAATGAGTACTCACTTGGTTCGAACACCCGCAACTGCCATGTGATTTGTTAGTTCGCAATTTTATAAACCTGTTACACGGACCTTCAATAAAGGCAGCCGCCTGCCTCGGAAATCCACTGGGAAGCAAGACACCAACATCCGTCGTGGTTCCACCAACGTCCACCACAATCATACTTTTGGGTGTTCCTTCCTTCTTCTGAAGATCAATTCCTGCCAAGAACGAGGCGCCTTCGTTTTCGGCGAGTTAGAGAGGAGCCACACGCGGGGAAACCATCATCAACGAACCGCGCATTGAGTTTGTGGCACCAGAAGAAAATGTTCGGATGGGCAACCTAGCAGCATCAGTCGCACTAGTGAGAGTTCCATCGTTCTACCAGTTATCTTATCTCAGGATTCAAGGATTGAACGAGAAACAAACTTGGGTGAGGTACAGGGGACAGAGCAGCCCAAGTCGCTTCATGGCGTTCTGAAACCCGCGGATGGTACGTTGAGCGAATGCTCCGATTGACCCATTGAGGATTGACGCGTTTTCGCGTTCAATAAATCCTACTTGTGCAACTGTGGATATACATATAATCAGCTCGATTTTGTACTTTCGATTGCATGGCAGACCATCGCGAGAACAAACTACGTTGACGTCTGGTCCAAGCTCTCGGAGAAGGATATCTCGGGCCAAGTATTCGTTCCTTCCTTCGACATCCAACGGAGAGACTGCGGGAAAAGGATGAAGCCGTTCCTCTTGAGCGGCAGTGAAAAATACTGACAGACGCCGATGAGCACAATATCCTTGAGCCCCTTGAGTTTAATCTGCCGCGCTTGTTCGACGATCTCGGCCTCGTCGATTTCGTTGATCGGACGGCCGTCACTGTGGGATATTGAACATGCAGCATGATAGCCATGGAACCTGGCCTACATCTGGAGTCCCCCTTTGATTATTGCGGTATGACCATCCATGAGCGCTCTGAGCTGCGGAGGAAAGTCTATAAACTGATAAATTGGTTCAGTCAGCCTGGTTTGTGAGCTGAAACGCGACGATTGGACTTCCTGGTGGATGTTCGACAGTATAAGGTGCAGCTAGTCGAATAACTGCGACCTTGGCTAGCCTTCTTGCATCCGCTTGCACGACAGCATTGACAAAATGCTAGAATTGATTGAGCACCGCTGGTGTCAAGTCAACCAGACCCACGGTCGTTCCGATAGTCAAGCTGAGAATCTCTCCGCCTTGGGGATCCACGCCTGCGTCGGCGACAACCTTCCTCACAGCCGCCTCGATGCCGTCCGTTACATTCGGTGTCGTCTGATGTTTAAAGCTCGCGATAACACCTCTAGTCGATGGATCTGAGGTCCGCGTGATATCCAGGATCGCTGCGTCGGTATTCGTGCCTAAGGACTGGTCAATGAGAAATCCGGAGGAGGATGTAGAGCTGCTTTGGACCTCCGACGTCCACACCGATTCTGTATCGACTCATGGTCTCACGGAAGTGGTTACGCGTGTTTCGATAGGCTTATTGAGTTGGCTTGCGACTCCAAATCAGTTTGGATTCGGAAGTATGGATAGAATCTGTGGAGCCAAAAAAGAGAAGGACAAAACAGATGCATCAGCCGGGAGTCGAACCCGGAGCTAGGCCAATCACGCTGACATAATTTGCTTACATAAGCGACAGATGGGAAGACCCAATGTTACCGCTACACCACTGATGCTGTTGCAACCTGTGTGAAAGTAGAACCCATTCTAGCAAAGAAAGACAAAAAGCACTAAGTCGAAAGGGGGAACGGACTTATAATTTTTTCAAGATTCTTCTCTCTTCCTTTCACCTCTTTCTTTCACCTCTTTCTTTCAATGGCTGTGGTACCAAGTCGAAAAGAGTGTGCTGTCATTTTGGCGCATGCAGCAACGATCTCAACGGACTTCTTGATGAAGTTGCGTAGCGTGTCAATGTCAAGTTGCATCTTAGTAAGTTGGTGAAATCGGGTGCTCCTCACTTGCCGCGAACTTTGTCAAGACATAAATAGAATTAGAATGAGAGCACGGACATGTTACCTCGTCCAAATCTTTCCTATCAACGAGTTGATGGTTCGAAAGGTGGTTGCTTTGCCGTCGAGTACGAATATGTTCTGCGCACCGTGGTGGTAAATTGACAATTGCCGGTACCGGGTATACTGAATAAATAACGTCCCTCCGATAGATATTTAACGGTCATGAACCAGAAAGGAAGATGATCAGAAGATAGCACGAACGAGTCCGCCACCGATAGCGGCACCGGCACCGAAACCCACCCCGCCTGCCGCTGAGTGGGCCATCTGAGACTGAAATGAACATGCTGTTCGAGCAGAACATCCTGCAGACTGACCGTGTCGCCGTATTTCCCGTACTTGCTCTTCTTCTTTTCTTGTTCTGGATCCTGCTGTAAACCCAGTGAGTTGGTGCCGCCCCCTGGTGCAGGGGGAGCATCGCGGCCCTGATGGGCTGCCATGAAAGGTTTGTATGCGGGCTTAGGTCCAGCATTATTGGATATGGGAGCGACATTTCGCGCGGCAGGAGCGGCAGGAGCTGAGATCTTCTCAACATAAGCCGAGGGGAACAGGGCTTGTTTGCCGTTTATCCTGCCCATCCACCAGTCGGCGTTCTCCTCTTTCACGACTGGCGAAATTTAGGGGAAAGCTGCTATTGCCTTGATTTGACATACCTTCTATGACGTCCCCAGCAGAGAATGACAGATCGTCGGCGTCCTACGAGATCTGAGTCCTGTGCTGCAACAATGGCAGTGCACCTACCTGTCCATTCTCGTTGTACGGCCATAAAGCGCGCGCCTGTACGACGGCAGGTGCTGCCGGTGCATTCACTCCACGGCGTGGAGCATAGGGCGCAGGGGCTGGCATGGCCCGCGGTGCAGCAGCAGCACTGGAGCTGGGTAGCTTTGCAAGGAAAACAGAGGCATCAGACTGCGAAATATAACTTTGAGAAACCAGGAAGTTGACATTGCTGGGGGACGTGAGCAACCAGGAGTCCGGGGAGTGATTGAGCGCACCTCTCGACCTGAGAGACGACGTGGGCAAGGAGGGCGGCTTCAGACATGGTAGAGCGAAAGTGCAGTTCCGCGGTGGCTGTCCTGATTCGAATCATTTGATCAAGTCGCGCTCTTGCCGCGCACCATGTCCTTCGCGCCGTTGAGCAGGCCGGCCCAGTCTCAGGTCAAGCTTGACCAAACCCCAAACCAACCACAGACGGATGGATTCACTGTTTGTGCTCTCTTTTCGTCTTTCTGCACTCCCTAACGTTGTCCCAAGTGGCCGAATTTCCGACTATTGAACAAGCAAGCACGCGTAACCTTGTCCCCCGACTTTCTGGATCCGTCGAATGTCCGCAGGGCGCTTACAACCGCCAATACCAATGGCGGCTGGTTTGCGGCCACGGCATCGCGAGGTAAGAAATATTATTACTGTTCTCTCTTTCTGACCTCCGAACAGGTCTCATCGTCTCCCCGTTGAGCGAGCTACGTGCTGCCTTTGAAAGTGGCTCTGACGCAGTCTTCTCGCCCAAACGAACCCTCCCCTGCAATGCTGTTGCCATTGCGTTTGCATTCAATGACACGCGCCTTCTCGCCGGAACCGAGCAGGGCCAGATACTAGTTTTTGACACTGCCCAACTCATTTCGTCTGCCGCCCAAGTGGAGCCGCTTCAGGTCTTTCAGGGTTCTTCGAGCCCTGCTGCACAAATCCTGCCCAATCCGAGCAGCGAGAATGAGCTCGCGCAGCTTGTGGTCATCGTGCGGGTGGACGGGACGGTGCAGATGCTCAATTCGCAGATGGAGTCCAGGGGTGCTTGGGCTGGAACGGATTTTGAAAGTACTCCTGTCGCAGGTCCGTCACGAGTATGATATGGACGGGGTTGTAAGCTCAAGTTTCCCAGCGTCCTGGTCTCCCAAGGGGAAGCAAGTTGCCGTCGGACTGCGTTCTGGCGATATACTAACCTTTGGGTTAAACAACAACGCATTGCCTCTCAAACATATCCCGGCAACGGCGGCTTCTCCTTTGGTGTCCGTTCATTGGGTCGGGCCTGCTTTTACGTTTCGCACGAGTTATGGTTCGGGAACCACAGATCCTCCGCACCATATTGTCTCGTTGGACACGCGATCCAACACGGCGGCTTTCATCCAACTAGCCCACCCTTTCCCGTTGGCAGACCGATCACAAAATGCTCAAGTTCTCGTCTTACACCGATGGGATCAGGACTCGGGCGCATCTGCCGATGACGCCAAAAGTCTCATTGTCGTAGGGGACACTTCCTCCACCGACCTCGAGGTGCTTGGGAGCGCGGGATCTCGCTGGTACCAACAATCACAAGAGAACCAATTATCCATACCCCTCGACAAGAATGACCAGGACACATTCCTGCTTACCGTAGACTTGGACCTGACTGACGAGCTTCCCATTATGTACGGCTATCTGAATGATGGCACTGTACAAGCGTGGTACATAACACACCCGGACTCGAAGCCCTATGCTGGACTAGTCGGCGCCGCTGGCGTTTCTCCCAGCGCCCCAGCATTTGGTCAGCAGAGTGGTGGCTCTGCGTTTGGCCAGCCCCAGCAACCTGCCAGTTCCGCCCCCGCGTTCGGTCAATCTTCCGGTTTTGGACAACAGTCGACGTCGGCTTTTGCACAACCCCAAACCGCATCAGTATTCGGACAATCTCAGACCGCACCTGCTTTCGGCCAGTCAGCATTCGCGCAAAAGCCGGCGTTTGGGCAGAGCGCGTTTGGCGCACAATCCAGCACACCATCCTCCGCATTTGGCTCGTCGAACACTACGTCTGCGTTCGGTAGCTCTGCTACACCCAGCGCTTTCGGTTCCTCCAATAGTGGTGGCTTTTCTGCGTTTGCTTCAACTCCAAGCGCATTTGGGGTCTCCAACAATCCTCCAACCGCACCTCCACTCAATTCGACACCGTCCGTTTCGATGGGCGAAGCAGCACCGTCCTTTGGTGGTCTCTCTCTCGGCAGCTCAAACTCTGGGTCGGACAACAAATCCAAGGCCGTCGGAGGAGGAATGTTTGGATCACCCAGTCCGCTTCCATTACCTCCAAACCATCCCGCCAACCAACCTACGACCCCGACGCCCTCCGCCTTTTCGGATCCGGCTTTGATCAAACCTGCCTCCGGTTTCGGTGCTTTCGGTGCTGCGGGGAGTGGAGCGTTTGGAGCCTCAAAACCTAGTGCATTCAGTGGAGGAGCTTTCAGCGGAGGAGCATTCGGAGGAGGAAGCAGTAGTAGTAGCGACCCCAAACCCGCGACCACCAGCAGCAGTACTGCTGCGCCAGCATTCGGCAAAACGGGTTTCGGGCAAACTGGGTTCGGTCAAAGCGGTTTCGGGCAGACAGGCTTTGGGCAAAAGCCTGCGTCCGCGTTCGGTCAGTCCGGTTTCGCAGCCGCGGCGCCAGCGACTCCTGCACCAAGCGGAGGAGGGTTTAGTGCGTTTGCGTCGGCCGGCCCAACAGGTTTCGCGAATGCCGCTAGTTCTGCTTTTGGTAGTGGAAACGCTGCTGGCTCTGCGTCTGCGGCGCCAACGGCTACACCGGCAACGGGAGGATTTAGTGCTTTTTCTTCTGCGAGCCCAACAGCATTCGGTCAAACTACGACTGCCTCTCCATTCGGCGGAGGAACGGGAGGAAGTGTGTTTGGGGGCGGCACTTCCCCGTCGCCGTCTTCGGCAAGTGCTTTCGGTGGAGGCAATCCTTCGCCATCTCCAGCCAGTGCTTTCGGTGGAGGCGGCGCCTCACCGTCCCCAGTCAGTGCTTTCGGTGGCGGCAGTGCTTCGCCGAGTGCTTTCGGTGGAGGTGGTACTTCACCGTCTCCATTTGGTGGAAGCGCAAGTACCCCTAATCCTGTTGCATCGGCGTTTTCCGGCTTCGCTACTCCCGGTAACTCGCTTTTCGGAAACAAGACCCCGCAAGCTAGTCCATCTCCCCAGCCAAATTCCCGATCCTCCTCTCCCGACTCCTCCAAGGATCAAGGATCACCTTCGCCCCCCGACAGCCCACCTCCTTCCGGAAAATCCCCATTAAAATTCACTACCACCAGTCCACCAACGACAACGGGCGCTTTTGGGAACTTGAAAAGCTCCTCTACGGGTTTCAAGCCCGCCTCTGGGTTCGGAGCTTTTGGAAGCGACACGACGCCGAGCTCGTCCCCTTTCTTCAACGCCGCCTCTCAACCCAAAACGCCTCCAGTGTCGGCCTTTGGCAGCTCAAATTCGAGTGCCCCTGCCACGCCCACGCCAGCGGCCGCTGCCGGAAAGCCGGCGTTCGGTGCGCCCTCGCAGCTTGGGGGGCTCAAATCGGCCTTTTCCCCCGTCTCTCCCGCGTCCAACCCTCCGCAAACGCAAGCCCCCGTTTCTGGTGGCTTTGGCGCCTTCGTTAGCTCTCCGGTTAGCCTAACCTCTTCAGCGACCCCGGCCAAGTCCTTTGGTGAGCTTTTGAAATCCGGCGATGAGGCGGCCGAGAAGCCTAAACCGGTTTCGGCTTTTGCCGGATTTGGGACCCAGCCCAAACCGGCATCCCCGGCATCCTCGCCCTCTCCTGCGCCGACGCCCATCAAACCTGTCCCAGTGTTCACACCTCCACCGAAAGAGGAAGAACCTGCAGTTAAAGAAAGCGAGCCGAAGGGTAAAGACCAGGCGACTCCCACGCAAGAAGGGAAAGA